TCCTGCTGTAGGACCTGCCGTACTAATAACCAGATTCCTCAATCTAACATTTTCTCAGCTTCACCTAAGTTGATGGAGAACAACTGGAAGACATCATAGGACTTTTTCCTTTGATGTTTTGGGGACACCCTGGTCTCAGTGCATTGTTAGAGGATTGCCTGCAATTGATGCCTTCCTATTTCTTGGAATGACTGAGACCCTGTGGCCTTGAGATTTGTGCTGAACAAGAGAGCCAGATGCTCCCCATCTGCAAGATGTGCCTTCCCCTGTACCATCACCAAGTTCCATGAACAGATGTGACACACTGTTACAGTTGTAGTGTGGTCACCTCATCACGTATGTGTCCCTTCTGCAATGCTGGGGCTGGGATCTTTCCAGATGCCCAGGGGGAGGGCCCTCCTAACAGCTGGGAGCTCAGAGCCGGTCACTGTCTGTTCAGAGGTATACAGCTCACTCAGACAGGAACAAACCACGAGTCTCCCGAGAAATCTGCCCCCAAATCACCTTTTTAAAAGTATTGAAAAAGACAACACAATATTATGATGCAGGTTATGGCTACATGTCATATGGGGAATTGTTCTTTCTTCCTGTTCGCAGAATCGATTCATAACCATCTAGCCTGGAAGAGTCAATGAGAAACGGTTTCACATCTAGAGAAGCCAGATCTAAGTCATCTACATAATTGAAATGTTTTTCCATTTAATGTGGCTCCCAGAAAATGGATACGGCAAAGAAGAAGCAGAAGGTTTATCCTGCCCCTTGATTTATGAGGTAACACCTCGCGTTGGCACAGGGTTGGGTTTGTGTCCTCAACGTGCTTTAGCTGTACCTGGCTGTGCCTTTGAAACAGAATCCACCTGCTCACAGGGCAGCGCATGGCCCTGACCCCGGCTTCTCTTCTTTTCTTGGTCATTCTTACGACTCACCCACCAGACCTCTTGCCATCCCATAAACACCCTGGCTCTGCCCAAGTCCTGGGGACACTGGTCATGGTGTTGCCTCTGCCCAGACCTAGCCTTCCCTACCTTTGTCTGTGGGGCATTTCTCCTGGTCCTCCCAGGCTTCACCTAAGACCCCGTCTCAATTCCCACTTCTGCTGTATTCATGTGACACTCTGTCTCCCATAAGGCTGAGCTCCTCCAGGTCAAGAAGGCAGCCTCTCAACCACAGGGAAATGCCCCAGGACCAGCAAAATGCTGCGAAGTCAAGGACGGCTCCATGCGCAGCAGAAGCCTCCCCTGGCTAACAGTTATCACGAGCTCACCATTAGCCAGCTGAGGATGCCGCTGCATGTAAGTGCGGGAACCATTCCAATCATTTCTTGCCTAAGTCATTCCATATGACCGCAAACCTATGAGGTAGGTACCACCTCCTCTCCCCATTTTACAGGTGAGGAACCTACAGAACAAACTGGTTCAGTAACTTTTCTAAGTCCACCAGCTGAGACGCATCAGGAGAAGGATTTGAACCTGGAAAGCACAGAACCCACAGTCCCCACCACCTCTGGATTCTGCCTCTCTGGACACAACAAGCTTCTCTCTATTTTCATTTTAATATAAGTAGAGCAAAAAAGCCAAGTTCAATAATTTGTCCCAACAAGACCACTCAACTAATGAGTGTCAAAGACATCACTAGACCCCACGTGTCTGGATTCTTTCTGGCTCTTTGTCAATATATCATACTTCATTGTCTAATCATATATATTTTTCTTTTTTAAACTCACAAATGCATGCAGGTAGCAGAACATTCGTCTGGATGATCGCATGTGTGTGACTGCCAAGGCATCCTCCCACTGCTACACATACAGAGGGTGCCCATGAAGGGGTACAGTAGGGCTCCCCTCTCCTTGAAGTTCGACTGCTCTTGCCAATGGCCTTGACCAATGGAGTGTGGGGGGTGTGACCCTGCACCAGTGTCCAGCCTGTCCCTTAAGAGACCTGGGATCCTTTCTTTCCTCCTTCCTGGTGAATTGAGCTGCCACCCAACTGGAGACAGAAGCCTAGGCGTTCCCTTAGGCCATCCAGCCACCCCAATGTGGGATCAGACATGTGAGTGAACACATATCGGGTGCTCTGTCCACCCTGGAGATCTCAGCTGAAAGCGGCATGTGAGTACCTGGCCGAGCCCCCCAACTCATACCCTCAAGAATCAGTCAGTGTTTCAAGCCATTAAGGTTTGGCATACTTTAGAATGCAGCAAAATCTAACTGAAAATAACATAACTGGACAGTTTGTTCTAACAAAGAGATCGGCAATGCTATCCTCCTGGCCCACAGAGTGGCCTTCCTGTCTCCATCGCTGCCTCCACGTTAGTGTTCCGTCCAAATACTATGCTCGTGCAAGGCTGCCGTACCCCACGCAAATGCCCCAGAATGATCCCCGTGCCAAATGAGACCAAGGAGAAAATGGCATTTCCCCCCCCCCCC